GGCAGAGGGCAATATTCCCATTCCAAAATGGAGGAACAGGGGAATAAAAAGGAATCAGACCAAAGTAAGACCAAAACCTAACAGGACAAACATAAAATTCTGAAGCTCCTCTGAAGGTCATCCAGGACCTGAGGTAGGTGGTGGTAAGATGTGAACTCCAAAGGGACTGGATAACCTCATCCCTATGGCCTTACTGGCTAGCAGCCCTCATGGCCTCTCTCTTGCACTGGTTCCAATCACTGCCTACAGCTTTCCTCTGGAGATGTTCAACGTTCCTGGCATCTCCAACTCCCTGGTGTCTCCATTCTAATAGCTTCATGCATTGCCCTTTGACTACTGTCCTTATAAAGTATTATTTTAAAAAATACAGTGAATGATGTTGCTGAACATCATCCAACAAAAAGGCAGGTTTATAAAAACATTACAGTGTACCCTCATCTACTATATTCACCAGATCTGGCACTGTGTGACTTCTGACTCTTCCCCAAAATCAAAATGACCATAAAAGGTAAACATTTTGAATCAATTCATCAAGGCAGTCACAACAGTGGAACTAAAGACACAAAAGAGGACTTCATTAAGTGGCAAAAAAGATAGGATAATTGTATTTGAAGTGAGAAGTATTTTGGGGAGGATTAATGGCAATGTGTCTTTTATTCTAACAGTTTTTCTTTTAAGTTAAAACATTCATTTTTTTTTTCCTTTTTGATCATGCCTTGTTTCTTTCAGGCTGTGCTTTGCTCTGAGTGACTCCATCTGATAAAGCAGAAACCTGCTCCATTGTGAGGAGAGCCTCCAAATGTTGAGGCAGAATGACTTAGTAACTCATCAGTGGAAATACATAATCCCCAGATGTTGCATACACCAAACTCAACAATAAAAACAACTCCAAGCTACACGGCACAATTTTAAAGCCTACACTAATAAATTAATCTCACTGATAAAAAATTGCCACTTACCAGATTAAATTTGGGACACATGGACATATGATTTATCTACATTATATCAAAAAACACAGGCCCATGATTTTATCACACACACAAAAGACCAAAAAACAATGAAACTTCCTCACCTGGATTACATAAAAAGAGGGATACCCAGCACTGGGGTATAGTGATGTCACACTCAGCAGATCACCTGGCGAGTGCATTACAAGGTTGATAGACTATTAGCTTCAGTTTTCTGTCCCCCATCTTCAGCTCATCTTGATCTTCCCACTTCACATGGCTCACTCAACTGTCTACTTTCCAGACTCAGGCTTTCACAAGTTCTGCACTCTTAACAAGCCCTGAACCTTCTTGGAGAAGCTCTGCCTGGTTTGTAATCTTATCCAGCCACCTGTGGTGAGTTCTCACATCTCTGTAGACTGCCTTGGTTTTCAGTTCTTCTCTTAGAATCTTGAAGACACTGTTAATCATTTCTTAGGCCTGTGAATTTTTGTGTGAATTGCGATGTGTGACTTAAGGGTAGTATATACTAGCAATTAAACTTGAAATTTAAGAAAATCCTTTGACTGCCTGGCTTCTTTGGCTACAAATTGAACCAACAGGACCTTTGCCACTGGCTAAACATTGGGCTGCCTTGAAAATTCCTCTGGTGGATTAATTAGTCCACCACCTTTAAATTCAGCCTCCCACAAGTCTTATGATGTGGGCAAAATGGAGACAAATTCTGTCCCAGAATGTAACACACAAATGGAGCTAGTCAATTCACCAATGGAGTCCTCATTCCCAACTGAAACCTCTTGAGCCTGGCCTTTACTGTCCACATTCCAATCAGCATTCTGATCTTCTGAGCTACGACCAATACTGCCCATCAAGCTCTGTTTACAATATTCTAGGGCTTCGCAAGCTGCATCTCCAAACTTTTCTAAATTCCTCCCACAAACTAGTTCCAAAGGTTTCTGAACCATATGGTCAGGTACAGTCATAGCAATGAACTCGCTCTTAGTACTAATTTTCTGCATTAGTCCCTTTCCTGTCACTGGGACAAAATACTCAACACCTACAACTAATGAAAGAGAAATGGTTATGTGGCTTACAGAATACATATGGCTGGCTATGGTTGGCTGGAATAAGACAGAGATATCGTGGTAGAAGGGTATGGCAGAGGAAAGCTGCTCAAATCATGGCAGCCAGAAAGCAGAGAATGAAGAGAAGTGGCAGAGACAATAATACACCTTTCTGGGTCATGCCCACTGTGATCCATCTCTCCTGATTAGGCCCCATCTATTAACAGGACATTCAGCTATGAACTTGTCAATGTATTAATCTACCGATTAGTGTAGTGCCCCATTGATTCAATCATCTTCCAAACCCCCACTCCTGAACATATGAGAATTTGGGGGGACATTTTTGTTCTAAACTATAACAATGGGCATGAATTTCCTTTCAACCATGTGGAAAACCTCTTAGAACTAGACAGAAGTAATAACTTCACAATCTTGTGAATGCACCTATGCCCCTGAGTTGTTCACTTGATATGGTTAAAGACTAATTTTATGGTATATAAATATCACTTCAATTTTAAAATATACTGTATTTATATCTGTTAGCTTCCTATTACTACACAACAAATTACCACAAATTTAGTATCTTAAGAAAATTATAACAGCTTAGCTCACAGTTCTGTAGCTCAGAAATCCAGGTGTGCTCAGATGGGTTCTCTGCTTTGGGTTTCACAGCTCAAAACAAAGATGTTTACGTAGCTGAGCTCTTCTTTGGAGGCTTTGAGGAAGAATACACTTCCAAGCTTATTGGGTGTTTCAGCAGAGTTCATTTCCCTCTAATTTAGGACTAGGATCCCTCCTCCTTCTTTGCTGTCAGCCAGGAGTTAGTCTCAGGTTACATGCATTCCTTGGCATATAGTCTTCTCCAGCATAGCACATCAAATCTTTTTCACTTTTTAAATCTGACTTCCTCTTCTACTGCACAAGGAGGAGAAAATTCTGTTTTTAAAAGGCTCACGTGTTTAGACTGAACCCAGCTTGTTAACCCCACTTTGACCATAAAATTTTATATAGTCACATTTGATGAGTATGATCTCACTAAATTTAGAAGTTCCACCCCACAGTCAAATGGATAGAGGTTATAAAAGGGCAAGGGTCATTTTGGGTCCTTACAATTCTGCCTGTCATGACCTCTTCAACAGAAATAATAATAACAGTAATAATAAGTAAATTGATAATAAATAAGTAAACATTTTCTACCCAATTCAAGAACAACTATTGTTTATACTCAGCCTCATTGCAAAGAGGATTGGAAGTGATTTATGCCAAAGAAAAGTTACAGAATCAGTGATTTATGGATTAATACAGTTCAAGTCTGCAAGCCTTAGGGGAAGAAAGGATGAGCTGCTTTTAACAGGTAAGGCTCTTTCTCTTGCTGAGGCTTCCTGGCTTTCTCTTTCTTCTCTTCTACTAAAGTAGTGAATGCAAATGCAAATGCAAAGCAACTGTCAAGAGGACCACTGGCATTCTCTCTGTGGTCATGGTAAGAAGCAGGTACTATGTTTAGTGGGAGTTTAGGGAACTAGATAATTGTATGATATAGTTCTGAAATTCTCGACCTTTTTGGTCTCAAGATTCTTGTTACTGAGGCCCCTAAAGACCTTTGATTTGGGTGGGTTATACTTCTTGATATTTATCACATGATCAATTAAACCTGGAACGTTTTTAAAGTACAAGGACACACAAGTATACATTCTCTTAGCCTACAGAGTGATAATGTCATCCCACATTATACAGCCTCTGGGTGTAAAAGGAAATAAAACTATGATTAGGAAAATAGTTTCGATCTTGTGGAAACTGAAAAGGTTCCAAGGGCCTCCATGGCTTCCTGGGCCACTCTTTGACAAGAATCAGTGAGAGACATAAATACCACGAATTGTATTTCTTCACAGATTGATCAACTCACATATTTTAGTGCATTCACTTGTGTGGTCATGGAGACAAATCTTTGCCTTTGTTAGTATCTTGTTCCATCTGCAAACTCATTTTTGTTGCTGATGTTTGCAAAAAGTGTGATTTGCTCTCACAGGTTCAGAATTGAGGTAGGCAAATCACAACATACAAGGAGAACTGTTTTAAATGGTGCAGCTTTGTCTGCAGTGGATTGGGACAGAGTCAGCAGAGAGTGGAGTAGAGAGGCACTGAGAGAGAAGGAAAAGCACTAGAGATTCTTATCACTCACTGCCCTTGCAAACTATGCCAAGACTTTTTTTTTTTTTTGCTGTTTCGTTTTAAAGTGAAGAAATTAATCAAATGATTGCTTAATGACTCAGGATTTTGGACTTTCCTTCTCATCCATTGGCCATTCTGTACAATTACGTGTTTCTCTGTTCTTTATATTCTGCTCGTGAAAACTTGTGACGAAATAAAGCTGAAAGGCTTTCGGGGAACTTCACGGTCCTCGGGTTTAGTGCCTAGCTAGTCCACTCTTCTCACAACATGTGTTCTACTTTCTTATACTCTGTCTCGGCGTAAACGCACCGAGAGCTGAGATCCTGGGACCCCCGCGTCTTTCTAGGGCTGATAAATAGAGTTTAAAACCTGAAAGGAGAGGGAAGGTTTAGCATTCTCCGCGCCAAAGTCAAATCGAAGCCTGGCTTTGGCCACTGCGAGTCTCCGGGAGGAGGGCGGTGACTGTGACTGAAGGGTGACCGTGGGGCAAGCTCTTCCGAGGCGGAGCTCCAGGTGGCGTCCCAGAGCAGGATGACGGTTGAAAGCTTCGCGAACCAGAGGGAGTCGCCCGACAAGCCGCAACACCAGCCTCCGACCCTGCATCAGCCTTCTGACGCGCCGCCGCGACCGCTGGCCCGCCTCTTGACCAATAGAGGCCAATCGCATTTCAGGCCTTCGCGGTGATTGGCTTCTAGTCGTGCGGGGGCGGGGACCCGTGGGGCTCCGCCCCGGGCGTCTGCGCGTCCTGCGGCGACAGGCGGTGGCCGGCGCCCGTTTTCGGCAGGGAGGGCTGGGCAGCCTCCGGGGGCTCTCGCCTCGGATGGATGTTCCTCGCCCGGTGTCCCGGCGGGCAGCGGCGGCGGCGGCCACCATGCTCCTGCGCACCGCCCGCGTGCCGCGCGAGTGCTGGTTCCTGCCCACCGCGCTGCTGTGTGCCTACGGCTTCTTCGCCAGCCTGCGGCCGTCGGAGCCCTTCCTGACGCCCTACCTGCTGGGGCCGAGCAAGAACCTGACCGAGCGGCAGGTGAGCGGGCGGGGCACCCCGGCGGCAGCTGCGGGCGGCGTCAGAGACTCAGCCGGGCTCTGCCGGGACTGGTCCCGCGGTTCCTGCAACGCGCGGGGGGCGATGTTTTGATGAAGAAGTGAAAACAGCGAGCTGTACTTTGGAGAAGCAAGAGGTTCAGTAAATACTCACTGCCTGAAAGTCGGTAACCGCTGCCCTTCTGCTAGGGTCTTCCCTCCACCTCCCACACTCCCTGCCTTCCTGTCCTCCTTTGGTTGACCTTTTACAGGATGAGTGTGCTCCGTCAAAGAAGGACAGGGCAGGACAGGAATCTGTGCCTTCATGTGCCTGATTCTTAAATACGTGAGGTTGTATCCAAGGATATACTGCTCCTCCCTCCTGAGCCCCATCTCCTGTGATAAATGCAGACGATATCGCATAATTGGCTCCTAATTATCGTTTTTCTTGTATTATGGATTGTTATTTCACATACATTAGCTTTGCTTCTCAACTACAAGGTAAGATCTTTAAAGGTTCTGTACCTGCCGTGATGCTTAGGGTAATTGAAAGCATGTAGTTCACGATCAAGAACTTCTTGTTGCTTGACTTACTGGAGATAAGGGTTTTTAAGTACTTCTGACGTGCGTAATGCTTTTTAGAAATTTATTTAACTGGTGAAGTGCGTAGTTAATCCCAACACTTGCTTTCTGCACAACAAAGACTATATGAATGGACAAACAAATTAAACCCACAGCGCTACCACAAAGCCCAAATAAGACAAATTTAATAAGCCTTTCGTTGCATATCACAAAGGTGAGAGCTTAAGTCTGATATTCTTTGCCCTGCTCTCAGCTGAATGAGCACAGGTTAACTGTACCTTTTTTCCTACACTCCCTTTTCCCCTCACCCTGCCTCCCTGCCCCAGTTGCTGTAAAATACTCTTCCCATTTAAACCATATTCTTCCTGGTTTGTTAGTATTCAGTCGCCTCTATTGAGTAGGAAGTCAGTACCCCAGCATAACAGGCCAGAGCTGGAGTTGGCACTACTAGAGTCATTTGCAGACTGGCAGGATATAATCACTCCCTCCAGTTTGTTGCTGCAGTGTGCCTTCATTTCCAAGGGCATTTGAGAGGGAATTGAGAGTCATTTTGGTTGCTGGATTCATTTGAGTAATGTTTCACTGTAGCAACTTTTACCCAAACCTCAGACCATCTGTTTCTGTCTTACTGATCCTTACACAAGGGACTGTTAATAGTTATTATCTATTTGAATTTTGATACTTGTTAAAATGAAAGATAAAAGGGAAAGAATGAATTCTTGTGAACGGAATTATTTCACAAGAAAAAATTGCTGCACCGATAGGAGAACATTTGATTCTGGAGATTCAAAAAACCACTGAATCTGAAGCAGAAATGCTAACTGCTTGTGAGCACGGTGACAGAGTTTCATAGGAGCTGTCATGTGATCTGCACAGTTTGTGTATCTTGAGGCACAGAAAAGCACATTGTGGAGAAATATGCTGCTTGTGTTATTTCAAAGCGGATCTGTTGTCTCATGCCCTGGGATTGTGCCCTGGCTAGAGAATTGCTTTGTATGGTGAGCATGTGCTCTGTCTTATCAGAAAGCTTTCTAGGGTGAGTGAAATACATTCAGCGGGCTTGGAAATAAAGCAGGGATGCTAGGCCTAGTAAATATTTATTGATCATGTAATGAAAACAAAAACATGCATCTGTTATTGCAAATTAAGTGAAGGGAAGGGCGTTTGAAGAGAAATCTAGTGGTCTGGGACCTGAGGAGTGTTACTTGTGTTTGAGACTCTTGAGATCATGGGTGATTCTGTTGATTCTACACAGTAGGGCTCTGCTTGCCCTGTGGAGAACCCTAGATTTCTTTTGAGTAACTAATTTTGAGCGCTTGTTTTCAGCAATGGACAGTTAAATAAAATATATTACATGACTTTTTAGCAAAGCAAATACCAAGTCATGTGCAGTGAGATTTCTGTTGAAGTTTGCAGTTACCCCAGAAGAGCCAAATTGGATCATTTTAAATAGAGCTATTATTACCTAAGCGAGAAAGACAGTTTCCTCCATATTTCCACTCTCCAAGAATTTCTTTCTCAGGTTTTAGGGAAAGTATTAATTTTAAAAGTTACCTCTTTCTAAGTTTTAACCAGGTAAAAATTTGTATTCTAATTGTTGAAAAGCAAACTTTTAATAATGTTGTTTGATATTTAACCACTTTTTTTTTTAACCATTCCACATTCTGCTTGATATCCAGAGCCTTACCGAGTTTGATTTTTACCTCCTTGGTAGTGTTCTCTTTCACTACATCCTTTCTCCCCTTCCCACTTTGCAGCCTCACTCATACTAATCTTGTAATCGTAAATCCGGCATAGCTACAAACTCTAACCTATTAGCCTGTATTTAAAGATGTGTTATCTGCCTAGAATTTTCCCATACATTTCTGTTGACATCTTTCTGTTAGCCTCTTTCTTGTCCTTCAAAATCTACCTCAAAGAATGAACCCCATATTTCCTATTTCTGCTGTAAATATTGTGTATATGTATACTCCTCACTAGGTTCAGAACTCCTGGAGAGCTGGCGCTTCATTTTATTCCTTATTGTTGACTCTGTACAGGTTGAGAACAGTGTTGTGCAAATAAAAGTTTAATTGAAACTTTCTAAAATAAAGTCTAAGTCTGAATTAGAGGTTAAAATTGAACTTTGTTTTCCTTGACTTTTTATATCTCAGAAGAAAGCACAAACAATCTTCAATCCAAAGAACTGAATAAAATAAAATCAGTTCCCTTTGATCACATGGCAGGTTTTACCTGAGGTGAGATGTGAGATCTGGACAGTGTCTCGTAAATGTCTGGACAGTGTTTAGGTCTAATAAAATATCTGTAATATGAACATTCTTGCCAGTAGGAAGATCCCCTTCCAGATTCAAAGTGTCTATCAAAGGAAGTGTTTTGCAGTGTAATCACTTAGCTTTGAGGACACTTTTGAAGACACTGGAGATTATATGGTCATTATCTCTTGACAGATGCCCTATAAAAGCACCTCCATGCAGATTGAGAAAGCTAGCACTGATATCAGAACTTGAAACATAATAGATCAGTAACAGTCTTCTGATGGAAGAAACGAGCATTTTAGTGTGGTAGATTCAGAATATCTGATTCTGAGTATTAGTTTCAGATCCTTCCTCTGCCAACCCTTGTTATGATAACTTTGGATAATTTACTTAATCTTTCTCTAAGGCCAGGTGTCCATTGTAAAATAGAGATTACCTTTTAGGACAGTTGTTGGGTTAATTGGGGGTAAATTAGGTAAAATGCTTAGCATAGTGTGTAGCACATCCATAGAGATTTTCTACTGTGAAACTGATAATGACAGTGGAGGAACATTTACCTTGGGTTGATGTCTTTTACAGGAGAAAATAACTGGTCTCTCAGAGTTAGTTGAAGAGAATCCATCTGGACTCTCCTGAAGCCCCATCCTAATACTCCCTTCTTTTTTCAGTTGGCATTGCAAGGCTAGTGAGTGTTACTTCCCCTCATCTTCATGATCTAACCTGTTGTTTTGTATTAAGAGTAGAATTAGACTTATGAATATTAGATATTTTAAATTGGTATTAAAGTATAGGATTTGGCAGTTAATCTAAATTTAGGGACAACTGTTACTAAAAGTTGAATAACCTGTCTAAGCAGAGACAATATTACCGGAGTGAAGAATCAGTCAAAGTCCTGAAACAAAAGAAAATAGGGTGTTGAAGAGAGCAATAGAGAAAATGTTTAATAAATGTTTCATTTAATTTTTATTAACAATAATTGTACATATTTATGCAGTGTGATATTTCAACATTTGCATACAGCATGCACTAATCAAATCAGGATAATTAGCATCCCCCTGTCTGTCATTTCATTATTTGGAGCCTTTGAGCTCCTCTCTTACAGTTATTCATAAAATATATAATAGGTTGTTGTGAGCTGTAGTCATCACTGTCCTGTGGACACCAAAATTTACATCTTCTATCTTAACTCTGTTTTCGCGCCCATTATCCATTCTCCCTTTTCCCACCCTCTCTCTCTCCCACCCTGTAGCAATCACTCTCTTATACATTCATGTCTACCTTTTTAGTTCGCACATGTGAGAGAGAATATGTATCTTTATCTGTCTGGGCCTGGCTTATTTCATGTAACATAATTGCCTCCCATTCCATCCATTTTGCTGCAGATGAGAGGACTTCATTCTTCTTATGGATGAATAATCCTCCTTCAGGTATATAAACCACATTTTTATTTATTTATTTGTTTGTTTATTTATTTATTTATTTTTGGTACCAGGTATCGAACCCGGGTCCTTGTGCTTGCGAGGCAGGCG